AATTTGAACAGATGCCCATAATTTCTGATCTTTCTTTTGTAATTTCTCTATTTTCATTTTTCATAGATAAAATTCTTGTTTTGTATGTTTTAATTCTTTTAATTTCTTTTAATCCTTTTTCCCAATTTGTAAATTCCCTTCTATCATTTCTTTTCTTTCTTCTTTCGTACGTCTAATTTTAAGTGTTTGCTTGATTACGTTAGAGTATTCCTTTTTCTCTTATTCAATTTGTTTTCAATTTTCTTTAGGTCTTTTCTTCTTTCATCTAATTTTTTTTTTTCAAGTAACATACATTTTTTTTTCTCTTTCGTGGGAGCAACCCACCTTTATTCTCTTTTTTTCATAGTAACCATTTTATACAACACTTAGATTTGTATAGATTGGAGTAGAAATTTGAACAAATCTTTCTTTTGTATTTTCTCCATTTTCATTTTTCATAGATAAAATTATTGTATAATATAGTTATTATAATATATTTAGTTAATAAATTAGTTCTTGGCCTGCTGAACGACGTAATAGACTGATAACCGCTGTAGTAACTTACAGAACCCTGCTCACCGCTAAGCTACACAGATTTAGTGTAGGTACTGTAAACATTGGTAACAAGATACTGTATTATTAAGTAACAACTTAAAAGTAGGTCCCGAAGTAGGCAGGCCTACGGAAGCCCGTTAGTGCCACCAGTGAATTAAATTTAAGGACAGTTAAGTGGCGGCCGCCAGATAATAGGCAGTTTTCGCCGCACGACGTTAATCCTTAACGTTAACGGATGACGTCATAATTTATTCATCTTGCGTTGCGGATTACGTTAATTTCAGGATTTTACGTGCTCGACGTACGTTAGTTACGGGTTTGCGCATGCGTATTTCGATTTCTTTACAAAAGGGGCGGAGCTATCGCGCTGCATGTTGGGTACTAACGTTAAAGTTAAGGTTAACGTCGTGCGGCGAAAACTACATATTAAGTGGCGGCCGCCAGATAATTATGTGGCGGCCGCTACTTAATGGTTCCTAAATGTTAATTCACTGGTGGCACTAACGGGCTTCCGTAGCAGGCCTACTTCTATTACTGTACTAGTATTTAGGCCTATAGTAGTCTATCCTTCCGAAAAGTTGTGCTGTACGTTATGGGCCACCTAGCCTAAGCTTAACTCGTCTTTAATTACCATTGCCTACCCGTCCTAGGGTCTATTCTATATATTTTCGGTCCGTTTTATTAGGGAGACTATTTTTTAGCCATGCCTAACTAGACCGACGTGAGACGTGACTCAGATTCTGTAAATGTTCGTGGCTTTGAAATGTGAGAATAGTGATTGGTTGAAATCGTTTATTTCGATCAGAATATTAGATTACGTCATTCTTTCACATCCGGGTACCTGCATGCAGTGTTTTACAAGTCCCTTATCCGTCTCAAAATCTCATCTCAAAATTAACTTGCTCGTTGGTGGCGCTGTCCAGAATGAGGAAAAAAACATAAGCTAAAGACTAAATCCAGAGATGACGGAACTAGGGGGTGCTGCGTTATAGCGAGTAATGTGTGACCGGAAATGGTCTGCAGTCAGTTGGTTGTTACCATGCGCCAGTGATGTTGGAGTACAGAAACATGAAACTATTTATGTAATGCATGAATAAAGTTCGGGGTTTGTCCTTTAGTGAAATGATTATTGTACGTTTTAAGTGGTCCAGTTACTCCATGCATGTGTAGGCTAAATTACGGTGATTAATTAGCGAAGATATGGAGACAATTATTTCGAAGTTCCCTCTTTCCAAGAGGGGATGCAAATGCTTTGTGAAAATGGGTACGCCGTGGTACTCATTTTTACAAAGGAATACACGCAGCTGATTAGCTAACAATACGCAAATGTAACATGAACACCTGGGAAGGAAGGTGCAATATCACGTTCTGTTGCCTAGCATACATCTGTAGGCCTACTGTAGCGTGGGGGTGGGGGACGGTAAGCATAAGTTGGTTAGCCAACAATATGCAAATGTTACATGAAAACGTGGGAAGGATGGCACATCACGTTCAGTTGCCTAGCCTACTGTGTACTGTTGTGTAGCGGGGGACGGTGAGGTTATTTATGAGTAAGCCTAGGCCTAAGTAGACAATGCAATTATATGAGATAGAAAGTACACTTTCGAAAGAAATAAATTAAAATAAGAAAAAAAAAATTAACTAAGAATAATTCAGTTGCAGACGTACCTTGCTTAAGTATTATACAATGCAGCTCTTGTAGCCCTAGCTACGCAAAGCATCCATGTGCAAAGCACAGAAGGCATCCATGTGTCGTGTTTTAAATTGCTCGTGACTTGCAAATTTTAATCGTTCTAAATCGCAATTTTATTGAGTCATTTTTACCGTATTTTAAGCTGTATTTGCTGTTTGCACCCATGTGGCCTACCTCAATTGAAATTTCGACGCATTTTTAAAGCTTTTTTACAAGTTTTTAGTGATACGTTTTTGCGCTTCAAACCTAGGCCTACTCGACTGATGTCTTTACCCTGTGTTACGAGCCTACTGGTGGCCGTATGAGGGCGCAGTGCGAATAAAAGACGGTCACGTTGCTAGCGTCAAACTGAGAGTATGTTGTGTCATTTGTCTATGACTAAACCCACATATTTATAGTAACTAAACTATAACATGGTGTCAGAAGTGGTGCAGTTTAAACTTTAAACCCTTTAAAAGACGAAGGAGTTGTATACGAAAGCCGAAACACAGTTTGTTACTTCGAAAATACATAGTTTAAACAGGGACTCGCACGGTATACCGCTAGCCAGGCTGAACGCGGTGAGTTCTATTAGTGATACATACCTAGCTAGATGACCCCTGGTGACCTAGGCCTAGCCGATTGGCGCCAGTACAACATAATTAACCATGGCTGTAGCAGCGACGTCGTCGATGGTAAACACATTACCGGCACCAAAGCCGATGTTAAGTACGAAACTGAGTTGAATGCAAAATCTAAGTTAATTCAAAGTGCAACTTTGAAAACTGTGATGGGTGCAGAGTGCAGGAAGGTTTTAAGAAATCTTAACCTAACTGAAGAAGATTCCAAAGATCCAGACAAAATACTCCAGGCCTTAGATGACCAGTTCCTTAAACAAAATAATATCTTGTTTGAACGATACACATTCTATAATGCTGTTCAACAACAGAACGAACGTATTGAGCAGTATGTTGATCGATTGCGTTACCTAGTTCGAACGTGCAAGTTCGAAGCGGTAGAAGATGACATGATACAGTAAGAGACCGACTAGTCTTAGGAGCAAAGGATAGTGCTGCTCGAGCCAGAATCTTCAGACAGAAAGAAGTTGCATCCTTAAAGGATTCCATAGCAGTCCTAAAAATAAGTGAATCTACAAAACAACAGATCCAATAAATGTCAGTAGAAGATCAAAGCGCAGTAAATTATGTGAAGCACAAAAACAAGCATAATCCAAAAAAAAAATACACTTATCAAAAAGGTACGTCGTCAAAGCCTGTGATCAAAAATTGCCAAGTGCAAAGCCTATGGAACGAAATGCACAAAATGCGGAAAAATGAACCATTTTCCGTCTGTGTGTAGAAATACTAAGCAAGCCACACACAGCAAACAGAGACGTACACCTCGAACGCATCAAGTTGAAGAAGATGAAGATTCATCATCAGAATCAAACTTTCATTTAGAGAGTGTAGAAGCTGTCAACAACATTGGTGACAAGAAGCTGATGATAATGCTCCAAGTAGAAACTTTATCAGGTACATCCGCAAATATTGAATGCGAAATAGACACAGGAGCATCCTGCTGTATAATGTCTCAAGATGACCTTGATAAGATAGAAATGAACATGAAATTAATGCATTCCAGTACCAAACTGAAGATGTACAATGACCAAAAGGTAAAGGTGCATGGTGAAGTAGAGCTAAAATGCCTATATAAAGGAAATGAATACAAGCTTCCATTCAAAATAATGCACACAACACAAGCACCATTACTTTCTAGAGCTAAAGCACTAGAAATGGGCTTAATAACAGTGGCAGAAGACATCCATCAGACTACAGTCCAAGATAGTATCAAGAGCATACTAGATACATATAGCGATGTTTTCGATGGACTTGGTTGCCTACCAGGTGAATACGAGATAACAATAGATGAATCCATACAACCAGTGAAAAACCAACCGAGAAGAGTTGCAGTTGCTATTAAAGATGAACTCAAATGTAAACTACTAGACTTAGAACAAAGAGGTATCATTGAGAAGGTAACTGAACCTACGGATTGGCTCAGTAGTATGGTTGTTGTTAAAAAACCAGGAAAACTCAGGATCTGTGTAGATCCAAAACCACTGAACACAGCAATAAAAAGAGCAAACTATATGATGCCCACTGTTGAAGATATCTTACCAAAATTAGCTAAAGCCAGAATTGTTAGTGTCCTTGACGCCAAGGATGGATTTTGGCAGGTTAAGCTAACATAAAAAAGTAGTTTTTTAACTACATTTGGAACACCATTTGGGCGGTACAGATACCACAGAATGCCATTTGGTATATCAACAGCACCTGAAGAATTTCAGAGACGACAGCATGAGATAAGCGAAGATTTACATGGTATTGCAGTCATGGCTGATGATTATCTAGTATACGGATGTAGAGAAACAGATCAGAAAGCAAAGGACGACCATAATGCAAACCTAAGAGCATTCCTAAAAAAGGCTAGACAAGTAAACTTAAAGCTGAACAGAAAGAAGGCCAGGTTGGGACTCAAAGAAGTCAAGTACATGGGACACATTACTTCCCAGGATGAGCTTTGACCAGATCCAGAGAAAATAACAGCTATAGTACATATGCCAAGGCCTGACTCAAAACAAGCTACTCAAAGAATGTTAGGGTGTGTGACATATCTATCAAAGTTCTTACCACGATTGTCAGAGGTTGCAGAACCATTGAGACGGTTAACATACAAGTAGTCACACTTGGAATGGCTAGATCATCATGAAGAAGCTTGGAATAAGCTAAAAATAATGATCACAAATGCACCAATACTCAGATACTATGACGTAAATGAGGAAGTAACTATCCAGTGTGATGCATCTGAGCATGGACTTGGAGCCACATTACTACAAGGTGGTCAGCCAGTCTACTTTGCCTCGCAAGCATTAACAATGACTGAAAGAAAGTATGCTCAGATAGAGAAAGAATGCCTTGCTATTGTCTTCGCTTGTGAGCGATTTGATCAATTTATTTATGGCAGAGACATAGTTCATGTACAGACAGATCATAAACCTTTAATACCTATCTTCCAGAAACCGATACACAGCGCATTAAAACGGTTGCAACGAATGGTATTGAAATTACAGAAGTATGAACTTAAGCTTCAACACATTCCGGGTAAAGATATGTTAATCGCTGATTTCCTAAGCCGAGCATTTTTGAAGAACACCCGTAAGCAGATGCAAATATGTAGTGAAATAGAACACATCAACCAAATTGAATATGTGAATGTAAGCAGAAGCACACAACTGCTACTACAAAATGCAACCAAAGCAGATGCCAATCTGATGGAATTAATGTTAATGGTCCAGCATGGATGGAAAGAAAGCTAAATTCTACTATGACCAAAAATGCAAGGATCTCCCAGACCTAAACATCGGTGAGACTGTGAGAATCCAACCTGATCAACAACATTCAGAATGGAGAAAGAGCAAATGCTTACAGAAAGTTGGTCCTCGATCATATTTAGTTGAGACCAATGATGGAAGAAAATATAGAAGAAACAGGAAATTCCTTAGAGCAGAAAAGGAACCATCAGACACTCAGAATAGTCAAGGTGAAAACATGGGCTTAGCAACAGATGAAGTCCAGCCAACGTTGGAACCAGTGACAAACCATCCAAGTTCCAATGTTATTGAACCAGCGATCACTCAACCAGACAATGCATTAACTAAAGGAAAGCCGATTACACCTGTTGAACAGACAAGCAACATCCCGACACAAACTAGTGTTTCAACAAGAACCAGATCAAACATACAGAAGCCAGCACGATACAAAGATTATGTTATGAACTAAAGTTTACACAAATCTATGTGATGTGAACAACAGGAAGGAAGTTATGCTATTAGTTCCAGTTTTAATTCATTGTTTGATTGTTGTTGATTTTAAGCTTTTTGCTAATGTGGACATTCATTGAACTCTATATTTAAAATAACAGTATTTACTGCATACATGCATCTCATTCAGCACTCATTGGAAAGAAATAGGGCAGAATAAACCCTAATATGACCTAAGAGTAGTCCACCTCAATGATGGTCACCTTGCTTATTTATTTGTTTAACTGTAGTTCTTAGAATTAGTTGTTAGTGTTAAAGTTTTATAAGACGCTGTTAAATCCCTTAATTACTGAACTGATAAATCAAACATACTTATATAATTTTAAAAGAATAACAATAACAATAAATTAACTACATATAAAACAGAACAAAATAGTCATAATGCTTAACTTTAATTCATATATATATAGATATTTCAAATGCTATATCATCATAATAGAAAATTAAGAATCATCAATATTCTTCAATTAAAGAAAGGGAGATGTTACGAGCCTACTGATGGCCGTATGAGGGCGCAGTGCAAATAAAAGACGGTCACGTTGCTAGCGTCAAACTGAGAGCATGTTGTGTCATTTGTCTATGACTAAACCCACATATTTATAGTAACTAAACTATAACACCCTGGAGAAAATCAAGCTTTGTACACCAGCGAAACCAAGTATAGTACGCTGACCGTGTTGGTATCTTGTGTTTGCCTGATGGTCCTGTAGAGGCCTAGACATTCTCACTGTATTCGAAACTACGCCCAAAGCTCAACCGAGATTTTAATACACCCTGATTTGTTGTGCACTGCTGTTTATCTTTTTACTGTGTGGGAAATCCTCCTCCCCATTTAGTTGGGACGAGCCTGCATATCGCCGCCATGTTTTTTCTTACTGACGCTGAAACCGAATGTAATCGGAAGAGATTTCCATCGAGATTGCATGCAACATCTAGGCCTACACGAAAGATTATTAAGGAAACCAGAAGTTTGTTAAATCTATACTTCTTGATCCGTTTGGCTTTATGTATTATTTTGCTTTGCTCTGAAGCATCAGACGAAACTTTAGCATATCATACTGACCACCAAAGTGCGGTATGGATCTGCCCTACCTGAACATTATTAACTTCACAGATTCTACTTTCTTCAACTTGAGCATGCAGTCACTTAATTTTAGTAACTCCTTTGAAACACTGTTGCCTCTGGACAATAATGATATACAAATTCCTCCTACAACTAGACCAATTGCTTCATCCAGTCCGAAGACCTCAAAAGTACCCAAAGTTTCGCCCATTAGACTACTAAAGTTGGGTAAGCTCTGGACTAAATCAACGGATAGCATAAATACAATTATTACCCCAATTACCATATGTAAATCTAAATCTTCTGGCAAATGGACTATCGCCAAGAACATTAAATCAAAGGACATGAAGAATTCTCCTAAGTATCCAGTTAAGAACACACTTCAGACCATTCCATTAATAACTATGCACAAATCTAATGGCGAATGGAAAATTACACGCCAACACACTGGAAGTAAAGCTAAATCTGCTGCTTCTAACGACTCTGTTATTTCTCAACCAACATCCCGGAGTAACTTAACATCACGTCCAGTACAGGCCAATAGACTTTTTAAACAACCCAACTTAAAAATTTCCATTATTAATTGCAGAAGCATGCGTGGCAAAGGTGCCCTCTTAGGAACCTTTCTCAAAGAGGAAGACACTGATATCACCATTTGTACTGAATCATGGCTAGATTCTAATATTTCTTCTTCCGAGATCTTTCCAAATCACTTAAGAGTCTTTAGGAAGGACAGGAACTGTAACGGTGGAGGTGTTTTTGTTGCAGTAAATGAAAATATACCATGTCTTGAAAGAACTGACTAATCCCGGAAAGACACTGAACTCCTTTGGTGCCAATCTGCGTTATTTGGACAGACACTATTTATTTGTGCCTTTTACAGGACACCGAATACTGGATACTCCCCGATAGAGAAACTTGGTGAATCATTTCAAAAGATCGACAAAGACGTTCGATCACCTTTCACTATTCTAGGCGGTGATTTCAATGTCCCTGGGCTCTCTTGGGAAAATGACCCTATATCAGGAAGTGTAGGAACCTTGCAACAAACCCTTATCAACCTGACCAACGACAACCACCTTACCCAAATAGTCACCTTCCCTACTAGACAAGACAGTAATGGTACAGCTAATACGCTAGACCTCCTGATGACTACCCACCCATCACTTGTTTTTTATGTTAGACCCCATACTGGAATAAGTGACTACTGCATTGTACAGGCAAACATCATAACCAAGACCAAACCTAACAAAAGACCACCACGCAAGATTCCTCTCTGGAAAAGTATTAATAGCCAAGATTTCAAAACCCAGGCGGCTCTTATCAAGGAGAGCTACTTCAACCGGAACCCGGACATTGCTTCGGTAGATGAGAATTGGTCATGGTTCAGGGACTCCATCCACAAAATTGTTTCCTCGACTGTACCATATAAAATGGTCAAAGGTCACATTCGTGCCCTCTGGTTTACTACCAAGTTGAAGAAACTTTGTAGAAAGGAGAAATTTTATACCAGAGCCAGAAAGACTGGCAACAAAGCTGACTGGGAAAAATTTATAAGAGTCGCAAAATTACGGATAGATCCATTAGGCGTTCACATAGATGCCATGTAAACAGCATTCTAGAGACAGAAATCCCGAAAAACTTCTGGCGATACATACGCTCAAGAAGGTAAGATAACACCGGTGTCCGGTCACTAAAAGTTGGAAACAACATTCTTACAAGTGACCAAGAAAAATCCCAGGCCGTCTCAAATCAATCTGAGGGTGCATTTACCCAAGACCATTCTAATCCAATTAAATTACCAAGTATG